TTTCTGCCCCATGAAGTCTCAACAGAATAACAGGCAATTCTGTGATGCTGCAGGCAGTTTTCTCTTCCAGGGCTGGCCAGCAGCACAACACCCTCAGGTTTCTGCATTGTAGTGGCAGGACAAGGAGCAGAGAGTTCACACTGAAAGAAATTTGGGTTGGATACCTAAATTGGATACCTAAAATGGAAAAAATTCCTCCCTGTGAGGGTGGTGAGGCCCTGGCACAGGTTGCCCAGAGAAGCTGTGGCTGCCCCATCCCTGGAAGTGTCCAAGGCCAGGTTGGACAGGGCTTGGAGCAACCTGGGCTAGTGGAAGGTGTCCCTGCCCATGGCAGGGGGTGGGAATTAGATGAGCTTTAAGGTCCCTTTCAACCCAAAGCATTCCATGACTGAGCATCACGAGTCACTGATGCCTCACCCAGGATACCACTGGTCCCCCCCACCCAGGAAGACCAGGCCCTTGGGGATCACCAAACCCACCTCACTTCACCCACCTGAGACCTGCTCCTGCCTCTTGCTTTCCCCAAACCAGGAAACCCAACCCCAGGCACAGTAATTAACCCGGGCTGTCAAATCATATTTGAAAACATCTTCGCCATCCACACCCCCCTCTTCTCCTGGGAGAGCAAATAAACAGCTTGTTACCATGAAAGATTTATTACTGACTAATGCACACAGGAAACCCGATGCACTGAGTACCAGGGAACACATTCCCAGCCCGGATTCTGTGTGGTCTCAGACCAACAGATCCAAGCAGATTTTATGCTGTTTTTTTCTTGTTGTCCATGAGAGGAAAGAAAAGCTGTCACTAAAGGTTTAATCAGATGCTCTCAGAGCTGGAACCTGAGCTCTGAAATCAGGAAACCCAGAAGCAGCAAAGATCTGATGGGAACCACCCCTGGAAGTGTTCAAGGCCAGGTTGGACAGGGCTTGGAGCAACCTGATCTAGTGGAAGGTGTCCCTGCCCCTGGAAGGGAGTGGAACTGGATGAGATTTAAGGTCTCTTCCAACCCAAACCATTCTGGGACTCTGTGACATCTCCCTCAGTACCCGGTGGCACAGCTAAACTCAGCCTGGGAGTCAAACCAAGCTCACATCCAGCTGGGGAGCAGCTACCAGAGTGGGACACAGCCTGCAAGTGCTGCATGATGGATATGTAATGGAAAGATAATATGGAAAAGATTCACTGCAAAATCCCAGGGTCTGGACGATTTTCAAATTGCTTTCTTGCTCGTTCTGGTCACATCTTCAATCAAGGTCCTTATTTCATAACCAAAGGAAAATTAACTGGCAAGGCATAAAGAAAAAATATTGGGAGCCTAAAAAAAATCAGTAGCGTCTGTGAGCCAAGGAATTGATGGAAAATGACAATTAATCTAATGGAGCAGTGAGTCAGAGAATAATGCATGATGGTAAATCCAGAAAACTGCATTATACCAAACAAATTGCTTGGAATCTGCCCATGTATAAAATAAATGGTTTCTCTGCTAAGCCAAGCTTCTAGAAAGCCCTCAGCTCTCCTTGAGACCAGGCCTCATTTCACATATTCAATATTTCATGGGAGAACAGAGGGGAAATACCCTTCAAATTCTCAGTCACCCTCATTTTTAAGTTCGGTTGTGCCAATCATAAATCTTTCAGACCTTTTTCTTTTTCTCCTAAAATTAAAAATTAGAACCTTTCATTTTGGTACCAGTAAAATTTATGGCATGTACCTGTGCCAGATTCAAATTTGTGCTTCAAGCAGGAAAGATCCTCCAGCATTGCCTGGCAGAGGGGAATTTCTGCTGGGATCAGGAAGATTTAGGACAGGGCTATGAATCCAGCCCAATTCCCAATTACTGCTTTTGGAAATCACCAGCCCTGCAGTCAGGTTGGAGAAGGCAAAACCCCACCAACCCACATGGTTTGCCAACGAAACAGAAACCTTATTCCCTGAGCCACCCCAGGCAGGAATTACAGCCCCTCTTTGGAAATCAAACTCCCTCTAAATGTGACCACATCCCCAGGTGACAATGACAGATCTTTCAGGCATCAGCCGTATTTAATGCCTGTGACAGCAAGGATTTACTGCCTTGGGAAGCTGGAATTTTGTCAGTGAATTCCCAAAGCAGGGAGCACTGTTCCCTGTGCTCCTGGCAAATAAACACCCAGGTAACCACAGGGAACACATCCCAGCAAACAAAGTTATTGAGGTGCAGTAAATTGGTGAGATAAGGGGCAGTACAATAGGATGGGAAGAGAGAAATTTAACTTTCCAAGGAGCATCCCATGTGCTGTGCCAGCAAACGGTGCTCCAGAGGGTAAATAAAGAGCAAGTGCTTGTGCAGAGGGCAGAGCAGCTCTGGGGCAGGGCTGCCATGTGATAACACAATCATCAGACTGATACTGTGATTATGCAAATCTCCACGGGCTGTGCTGGAATAATCAGCCAATTGTGCAGAATCAGCTGCACGGAAGAACTTCCCAAGTTTCCATGGATGGGGACGAGGTGCAGTTGGGAGGAGGAGGAGGGTTAACTTTCCAACATTCAGCTTTTGGTTTGCAGAGCAAGTTATTGAAGAGCAGCACTGGGAGAAAGGGAGACGTTTGCAAGGGGGTGTCACACCCTCTGCTCCTCTCCATCAAGGACAGATAATGCCCCACACCCCCCAAGGCACGTTTTGCCAGCAGAGCCCAGCTCTTCTCACAGGGGATTTGGAGGAGAAGAGTCCTTATACCAAAGGCAGAAGCTACAAAACCCATGAGCTTGTTCCAGGTGGGGCATCAAAGGTGCTGTCGAGCCTGTGATCTATCTGGAGCTCAGCAATTCTCCAGGCACATCATCTGACATTTAATTAAGGCCAAGACCTTTATCATTCAAGCACATCACAGGGTTATTAAGAAGCCCAAATGTCACCAATGCCAGCGATGTGGCACTGGGTGTCTGCAAGTGTTTCCTGTGAGATTTGGGCTGTTTGGGTCAGAACTGACTCCTCACAGCTCCTCAGGGATTGTCACTGGGGAGAATCACAGGGGCAAGATCTGCTTTTATGGTTTGTATTTGCACAGCCCTACACAACATGGAGCCTTTTTATGGCTCTACCCCAAATGCCATTTGTCCAGTGACACAGGACACAACTAAGTAACCAGAGTTTGATGTCCCAAACATGAGCCCATTCCTGTTTCCTCAGGGCATCCCTCCTGCCCACACCTCGAGGGCCTATGACCACGGACAGAGCCACAAATATATCAGCTGAAGTTCTGCTTTCAGGTGTGCTGAGTATAAATTACCATTACCATAAGGATAGAAAACACATATAATCTGCTCAAATCACTTGGGGTGTCAGTGGCATCCATGGCAGACATCCTTACATTGTACACACCTTGTACCTGAGAGAACACCTAGAAAATCCTGCTAATACAATCCACCAGAAGGAAAAAAATCTTCTGCTTGGGTTACTGCAGTGGGATTCAAAAGCCCTGGAGTCACAGGTTTCCTCTCTGGCATTTTCCTCTAAGAAAGGACATGCAAAAGCAAACCAAATTAAAATTACCACCTGTGTTTTTTCCACCTGGTTGGTCTCACTAATTTGGGAAACAAATTGCTAACCCAGGACTGGGGCTTTCTCAAACATCTCCTCTTCAGGTAACATCCAACACCATGGATCCACGGCCTTAGGACTGATCCCAGGACATGGAATAGGGAAGTTTAACACCAAACCCTCCTGGAGATCTGCCTGACATTACCTTGGAGGCAGCTGCATGAACTCAGGCTTGATTAACTGCTCAGCTGTCAGCTAACAGTCACCCAGCTCAGCCTGTGAAAGTACTACAAGAGGCACAGCAGAAGTTGCAAAAAGGTCTGCAGGAAACCCTAATAACATGATATTTTGAATTTCACCACAGAAATAGAAACATACAATCCAAACATCATTTGCTGCAGGATTGGTTGGGGAGGAGAGAGAGAAAAGAGGAGAGAAAAAGAGGATGGGACATTTTGGAGGATATTTGTGCTAAGATATCTGCACCAGCACAAACAGTATTAAAGTACCAGTAGGTCTGGGTAAAACAAGCCTAAAATACAATCTCTAGGCTCTAAAAATTCAGAGCAAGTGTTGTTATGGCATCGTTGCAGAAAGCCAGGCTTTCTCCACAGCAAGTAAACAAACACATCCATCCTCAGAGCTACCTGGCAGCAGGGAGAGGAAAAAGAGAACAAGTCTTGTAAAATCCCTTATCCAGTGTATTAGATTTGGGAACTCAGGTATGAAGTAGGGTGAAAGCAAAAGCTCTGGGGCATTTCATGGACTGGTACTTCAGAGCACCAGGAACAACCAGTGTGAGGAACAATTAATGAAAGCAAGAGGCAAACATGGAAAATTTGGGATTAGTCATGTTCCACACCACCTGCTTAACAGCCAGAAGGCACAGACAAGAGAGAACCAGGCCCATCTGTAGAGACTTATAAATGTATGAAAACAACTGGGGAAAGGATCAGAGCTGCCAGATGCTACAATAACACAGACAACCAAGGAAAGCAATGGAAAACAACAAACACTTTGTCCTTCACAGCCCTGACCACCAAAGCAGAGATCCACACACCTGGAGATGCTCTGGACTGCAGCATCACCCTCCAAAACAGCAAATCAACCTCCACTTTGGGTGCCGTGATTTTGAAATGGAAAAATCACCACACGTGTTGTGTTCACACCAAAACACAACAGTGACTTCCAGTGTCAAGGAAAGAGCAGCTTGTTCCAGTCCACATTAACCAAAAACCACACAACCATCCCAACCCCTGCTCATATTTGTAACTATTTGGGCAAAAAAGCTTTGGAATCATCTCATGGGAAGCTGAGGCAGGTGTGCAAATGCAAGAGGGGTCCAGTTTTCCCTTTGGAAAACACTGGGTTTTAGGGAAGAACTTGGGAAACAGGACAGGGAGAGGACACTAAGGGCATTGCAAACCAGGAGGTGGGATGGGCTATAAGGTGGTAGCTGCACACGTTCCTCTCTTACCTGCTTCCATGAGCTGGCACTGCTGCCCAAAAACTTGTGAGAAGGTAACAGGCCCTGGTGCAGGGCTGGAGGTCACCGGAGGGGAGTCCATAGTTCTCTCAGCGTCCTCTGTGTTAGTCATGGAGCAGAGCCCAGCAGCTCTGAGAAGCTCCTGTGCCCCACAGATCCTCAGCGGGCAGGAGGAGACCCCCAGGGAGCAATGGTGCCTCTCCCGGAACTCCCAGGATGCTCCTTTCCCTGTTTTCAAGGGGCAGTATCAGCACACGTTTTCAGTTGAGTGTCATCAGTATTTTCATTGAGGAAAATTAAGAGTCTGTGCGTGTCCCAGGAGGTTCTTATTCGTCCTGGGCAGGTCTGGTGGCTTCAGGCACAAATTAGCACCAGGCACTGAGGATTGGCCCCTTCGGGGGTTTCTGCCATGGTTTGAGCAAAGTCATGAGGTTCTTCTCCTCCCGAGGTGTCTAAACCCAGCAGCAGTTTGTCCGTGAGCCCGGGCACATCCCCTGCCGGGAACACGGGAGTTTTCCCACCGCGGGATGCTGGAGCCGGGAGCCTCCGTTCTTCCAACCCTCCCGCTGCGAGGGCCCCGGGGATGCTGGAGCACCGCAAAGATCCTTCTCCGCCTCTCCCCGGGGCTTTGAGCCCGAGCTTCACCTCAGGAGGTCACAGGAGGCTTCCAGGGGACGCGGCCCCCTCTGGGACCGGCGGCCCCGGGGCTGCGGCGGGCGGGCTCCGCTCGGGGGGCTCCGGCAGCTCCCGGCATCACCCCCCCCGCCGCTTATCCCTTCCCTACAGCCCGCTCCCCCCTTCCCCCAGCCGAACCGGCGAGGGGGAGGAGACTGGAGCCACGTTAAGTAACATCCTCTGCCCTGCTGCAGTGGCTGCCTGTCCCTCCTCCCTCTGCCCGGATGCAGCGGCTGCTCCCGGAGCGCTCCTGGAGGCGCTTGGAAGTGCTAACTCAGGCAGGGAACGGCGAACAGCCTGACTTAACCCTCTCCCGGCTGCCTTAACCCTCCCCCGCCCGCCTGCCCGCCGGGATGCTCAAGGGAAAGGGGGAAAGACGCCAGGGCTGGTACCCAAACCCCACCGCGGAGCCCACGGCTCTGCATCCCGCAGGGACGCCTGGCTGGAATTCCTTCAGTGTAAAAAAAAATTCCAGGGTTGTTTGCAGGGAAGAGGGACCAAGAGTTAACTCCCAGCAAAGTCTGACAGCGCTGATTCATCCTCACTTTAAAAACTCCCTCTGCCAATGCGAGGGATGCTCGCTCCGGGAGCTCCGCATAAATTTGTCCTCCGTGAGTCATCGGAGCTTTCTTTGGGAAGTCTGCTGGCAAGGAAGGTTGTTACCTCACGGCCGGGAAAACACACCGTGCCCCGGGTGGAAATTAGAGACGGTCGGATCAGAGCAGCAGAAAGGCCGGGGCAGAGAATGAGAGGCACCCGCGGGTCCCCCCATCCCGGGGGAGGCAGAGCGGGGATCTCAGCCCCCCTGCAGCCAAAGGAGGCACAGAGAGAGGCGGATTCACTGCCCAGGGACACCTGGGGAATTCTGAGCAGCGGGAATTGAAGTCACGTCTCCCGGCCTGTGCCGCAGCACAGCTCCCGGGGCTGGGGCGCTGCCCAGAAAATCCCAGCTCGGTCATTTTCTTGTATCTGTCCCCAGGTATTACACAATTTAAGGAAGGATTGTTTTACAACGAGGGTGGGGAGGCTCTGGCGCAGTTGCCCAGAGAAGCTGTGGCTGCTCCATCCCTGTAAACATCCAAGGTCAGGCTGGACAGGGCTCTGAGCAATCTAATCAAGTTGAAGATGTCCCTGCTCGTGGCAGGGGGTTGGACTCGATGCCCTTTAAAAGTCCCTTCTAACCCAAACTATTCTATGATTTAAATGGTTTTAGGCTCAGATTTGCTATGGCAGAGTCCAAACAAACAACCCAGAGACTACTTTGCAGGTTTATTTCGCTAAGGACACAGGTTTATTTTGCTAATTTCTGTCCTCACAAGAACAAAAAGATTCAACTTGACCTTCTGGTTCTTCATATGGAGGAAAGCAAAAACTTGGCCATTTAGTCCACATGTCTCCAACATTCAGATATTCATTCCCGTGGCTGGTTTTTTTCCTTCCCAACTCTTTGCCTGTTATTCCCTCTCACCATGTCCCAGGAAATCCTCCCAGAGCTGTTTGGCAACTTGTCTGCAAAATCCACCACAGAGCTGCATTGAGCTCTGAAATATTAAAACATAATTTAAAAAAAAAAATAATTATGCAAGAGACTACTTGGAAGTCCCTTTTCCCTTTTTTCTTAGCAAAACTTTTCCACCTTCAAGACTTCAGCAGTTTTAGTGTTGCAGACCAACTCACAGATATATTTTCCTTCTCCCCAGTTCTAATGTGCATTAGGAGAACACACTGGAGGCTCTTAAAAAGCAAAACAACTCAATAATCTTATAAAACCTTTATTCTGCAGGACCCTGTCCCTGGAGGGATGGGCACCCTGGGGATAAGAGAACTTCCCAGAGAGGGAATAAAGTGGGGAAATGTTGAAGCCTGTTTGCTGTTTGATTTCCAGAGGATTGTCCAGAGGAGCAGCAGCGTTGCCACCACCTCGTGCTGCCCTCAGGGTCCGTGCCCTATCTGGGGCAGTGGTTACACAACACCACACAACAGTGCACAGGCTGCTGCCACTGGATCAGCTCAGCCCACGGCCCTGAAAACCAGAGAGCCAGAAAATAAGCCCTTTTGTTTGGGCTGCTCTGGGGGCTGCACCTGCACAGCATCCATTGCCTTCTCTCCCAGTGGCACTGGGAGCAGATGAGCAGTGCAGACACACCGAGGCCTCACCTTGACTCTGGACACAGGGCAAGGGATGCTCCGGTAAGAAATGACCCTCTGTGAGGTACAGAAGTGATATTTTCCACGTACTTCACTGCAGCTCAGCTGGATTTTACTCACAAGCTGGCACCTGTGTCGCTGTGCCCAGTCCCACACAGGATCCAATGCCACATTTCCTCCTCGGGGCTTCTGTGTCTACCACAACAAGCCGAGGTTTATTTAACATGTGCAAGGTTCCTTAAGGTCCCCCATGTCCTGCAGGTTCCATGGTGAGCTCCATCAGCTGCACCCTGCACAGAAAATAACTACTAATAGAACAGATAACCTGATAATTTTTCCAAATTGCAATTTCCAAAGCTAATTTTTTCCAAAATGGAAAAGAAGGGGCTCTGGGCACCCCCAGCCCCCAGCCCACACTGGCAGCAGCACAGGAGCAGTTCACATGGGGACAGAAGAGCCTTGGAAAACACCAGCTCAATGGAGATCTGCTTCTCTTCCATATCCAATTATCCCACTGAACAGACAACAATATGCCACAGGAAAATGTCTGAAAGGGAGAGAAGAAACTCGGCTAAACTCATTACACCAACAGAACAGGCAGTTCATTATAGTGGGACTTCACAGCTCCAGAAATACCCTGGGTTATTCACAACAATGTTCTTGGTAGCAAAGGATTCAGGAATGGGGAAGGGCTCAGGAAAGAACACTCAGATATTGTCCCTAATGAGATGTCAGCAGCTCCCAATGGTAACGAGGGAGAACTCATTTGTTGTGTGTCAGAAGTCAGAGTTTCACTGGTACAAGGCAGAGACTCTGGGGAAAAAAAAAATAGCAGATAAGGATTTTTGCATTTGCTTCCAGCACAGCACTGTCAGGGAGGGCTGGCAGAGTCACGGGCTGGATCCATGGGGGTGTATGGATGGGATTATTCCCCAGCAGACAACACCAGCTCTGGATGCTCCTGCAGTTCTGCTGTGCTGTGCAAGGCAAATGGAGCTTTGCAGGACTCACTTTGAAGAAATGCACTTAAGGTTTGGCATCACAGGCAGCAATTAAACATATTTCTGCCTTCTTTCAGATTACATCTCCATCAGCTCTTGGCTGAAAGAGAATTTTGTTTGCTTGAGTTTTATTCTTTCTGAAAAAAAAAAAAAGTTTGAAAGGCACAGAAGAAAATGACCTAAGTGGTGCAGAGAGAAAAAAATCCTACTCTAAAGGACTTAGAGGATATTTTGGGTAGGATATCAAAAGTAAGGCTGAAGTATGGCTTAATTAATGTATAAATATCCTTGTAGAACAGAAATACCAACTCTGAAAGGACTCTAATCAGTCAGTGCTGGGCACAAATAGAAGCTAAACTCAGATACAGACAGTACTAAAGGAAATAATCTGGATATTTCACTTCTCAAGGTTAAATGAAGAGCATTCCTGAATCAATGCACCCCAGGTAAGCCTGAATCACTGCATGTGATAGAGGAACCCACGAATGAAATTCAGGGAGTCTGTCAGTTAAAAACTCCAGCTGTAGGAAAATTCAATATATAAAAGAAACATATTGTGCAGATGACAGGATGGGAGTTTAATAATAAACACCATGTTTTATAGTCCACATTATCTGGTGTAATGTTGGTCCCCACAGAAGCCTGAAGTCCAGGACTTCAGCTGGAGGGGTGTAGAGGCCCAGAGAAGTTGACTTTAGGTGAGGAGGAGATGAGCCTGGAGTTAACACCCTCTCACAGCTCCCTGTGCAGCCACTGACACCGGCACAGCAAGGGCAAAAAAATTAACAGAAAGGAAACCAAGCTGTGGAGTCAAGGTGACCCAAAACTTAGCAGAGCAGTACAAAAAGGGGGGGTGGGAGTTATTTGCATTAGTACTTCATATCTAGAGATACATCAAATATTTCCAGAGCTGTCTGTGGTGGTTTGAGACCCCTAAAAATCCAATTCCCAAGTCCAAGCCCCCCTCCCACATCTCACCCCAGTGTGAGAGGGGTTTTCCAGACAAAACACAAGACTCAATATGGGGGAAAGGGAATTATATTACAATCACTACACAAATAAATATTATAATACATTATATACATAATCTTAACTATCTCTCCTATGATAAATCAGTATTTACATTGGATCAAATCTCTTCTCCCTTCAATAAAAGTCCAGAAGGGAAGAAGGAAAGATCCTTTCCACGTTTAGCGCAGCAGTATCTCTCTTCTTCCATGCAGCAGCTGGATTGTTGTAGCTGGATCTCTTTCCAATATACACAAGGGGGGTCTCCTCTGACCCCTCTCAGCCCTTCAACTCCAAGTGAAGGTCTCTCTATCTAATCTCTAACAACTGCCTCCCCTTCTTCCAAGGCAGCTGCAAAGCAAGTCACAAACCAAGCACAGCACAGGCTGAGCTCCCCCTGCCTCGGGTGGCTCCTGCTCTGCCTCCCCGGGGAACGAGCCAGGATTGTTCAGACTGCTGGGCCACAAGGTGCTGTGTTTTTCTGTCAGCTTCCCAGGGAGCTCATCCCTGCCCCCAGAGAAATGTGCCCCTGCTGAGGATGCTCAGCACTGTCCGTGCCACCCCTCGGGGAGCATCCGCAGGGTCACCGCACTGAGGGGACCCGCAGCTCCTGAGCAGTGACCTCGGCTCGATGTGAGCCAGACACCCCCAGGGAAAGGCTCAAAGGCTCCACTGCTCCCAGGGAAATGGGAACAGAACCCAGGGAAATGTTGCTCAGCAGCTCTGTTGCTATTTTCTCCCCCGGCTGTGTCTCGCGGGGGAGCTCAGGTGTGATGTGCTTGTGTCCTCCGTGTCCAGTTTTCTCCTGAGCATAAACAATTCTCTGTACGTCCTACAGCCCTGAAAGAGTATTTACAGTTAGCACTGGCATCAAAGACTGAAATAGCCCACTGGGTTTCCTAACTGGGATTTTGGGAGGGGATCCTGCCACCAGCAGTTGT